ACATGCTGCCTCCCTCCAGCCCTTTCACCAACCGTTCCTCCCAAAGCACCCACCACCTCTCTCCTGGGTACGATAATTCACTGCAGTGGCCACACAGAGCTCACAGATTATGGGGTTTATTAGGGAAGCACCACAGGCTACAATTTTAGTTGAGGAAAAATGCTCAGTCTCTCTCCCAGCCCACCGTCCCTCGGCCAACAGTCTCTCACAGTCTCTTTCCCAGCAGTGCAGGTCCCTTGGTGTCTCACTCAGCAATGCGTGTCTCTTGCGTCTCTTTCCCAGCAGCACATGTCTCTTTCAGGGGCGCGTGTCTCTTTCAGCAGCATGTCTTCCTCAACCAGCAGTCAGAGAGAGTTCTTCCTCTGGGAGGCCTCCTTTTGAGCCGTGCAGGGTGGTCAAACTAGCCAATCAAAGCATCAGAACTCTAAGCACCTGAGAGAGAGTGGGAACCTCTCAGAACATTGTATTGTGCCACGCCCAACAGAAATAACCCAGGTGGATAGCTTCAGCAATCAGGAGCTCCTCAATTGCTCATAGAAAATCCCACCTTGGAGTTTACAAAGACTTATGGGTAGAAAAGCCACACTAAGTAATTTACTACACTGCATCTTGCCATCCTCACTTCTAAAGAGCATTCAGCAGTACTTCAAGACAGATTTGTTGTTCTGGCAGTCCATGGTATATTCACTATTTTTTACCATCACTGTAATTCAAATCCATCACTCATCTGTTAGTTTGTCCTACTGTGGTGGCTTGCACATTGCTGTGAGGCTGGAGGCTATGCCACCAATATTTCAAATAACCAGCAGGGTCACCCATGGTAGAAGGTTTCAGCAACGTTTCCAGACTAAGACAGATTCAGAAGAAAGATGAGGCCATCCACTTCTGAAAAAATTGGCAGTTGAAAAACTTATGAATAGCAGTGAAACACTGTCTAATATATTATTGAAAAACTTTAGGACCAGGCACTGTTTTGTTCTGTTGTACAGAAGATCACTGTGAGTTGGAGCCAACTCAGTGGCACCTAACAACAGTAATACATGAGGGATATTGGTCTGTAGTTTTCCTTTTTAGTGATGTCTTTGCCTGGTTTTGATATCAAGGTTATGCTTGCTTCATAAAATGAATTTGGGAGGATTCCATCCTTTTCTGTGTTCTGGAATAGTTTGAGTAGGATTGGTGTCAGTTATTCTCTGAATGTTCGGTAGAATTGTCCAGTGAAACCGTCTGGGCCAGGGCTTTTTTTTGTTGGGAACTTTTTTATGACCTATTCAGTTTCTTCTTTTGTTATGGGTCTGTTCAAATTTTCCACCTCAGCCTATGTTAGTTTAGGTAAGTAGTATGTTTCTAGAAAGCTGTCCATTTCTTCTAGATTTTCAAATATGTTGGAGTATAGTTCTTCATAGTATTCTGATATTATCCTTTTAATTTCTGTTGGTTCTGTTGTGAAGTTGCCCAGGTCATTTCTTACTCATGTTTTTGTATTATCTCCTTCTTTTCCTTTGTTAAATTTGCCAGTGGTTTGTCAATTTCATTAATCTTTTCAAAAAACCAACTTCTAGTCTTGTTGATTTTTTCCTATTGTCTTTCTGTTCTCTGTTTCATTTATTTCTACTTGAATCTCTATTTTTTTCTCTTCTGGTGACTGTAGGCTTTTTTTGCTGCTCTTTTTCTAATTGTTGGAGATGTTGGGTTAAGGTGTTGATTTTGGCTCTTCTTTTTTGATGTGTACATTTATTGCTATAAATTGGCCTCTGATCACTGCTTTTGCCGTGTCCCCAAAGATTTTGGTATGTTGTATTTTCATTCTCATTTGATTCAGGGAATTTTTTTTTTTTTAATTGTGATTTTGGGGAAAATTTACCCAGTGAATTCACTTTCCATGCAGCAGTTTGTCTCATGACATTGACTGTAATTTACCCTAATGCAACAGCTCCCCCTCACTTCCACCCCATAGTTACTTCTTCCCTGTATCCATCCCTCCATGCATTCCTGCCCCTGGGCTATCTACCTGTGCATAACAGCCCTTCTTTCTCTGATTCAGGGAATTTTTAATTTCACTTTTTATGTCTTCTATTACCCAGTCATTTTCAAGGAGGGTGTTAATTCCAATTTCCATGTGTTTGCTCTTTTTTCATTGATCTTCCTGTTTTTGGTTTCTAATTTTATAGTATTGTGATCTGAGAAGCTGCTTTGCAGTATTTCAGTGTTTTTAAATTTATTAAGGCTTTGCTTTGGGGCCTAACATGTGGTCTATCCTGGATAATGCTCCATATGTACTGGAAAATAATGTATATTATGCTGTTGTTGGGTGAGGTACTCTGTAGGTGTCTATAAGGTCAAGTTGGTGCATTGTATTGTTTAGTTCTTCTGTGTCTTTGCTGAGTTTCTTTCCAGTTCTGTCTTTCATTGAAAGTGGTGTATTAAAGTCTCCTACTATGACTGTGGGGAGCTCTGGTAGCATAGTGGTTAAGACACTTGCCTGCTAACCAGACGGCTGGCGGTTCAAACCCACCAGCCACTCCTCGGAAGGAAGGTTGGGCAATCCTACTTCCGTAGTGATAACTGCCTCGGAAACCCAAGGAGGGGTCGCTATGAGTCGGGGCCGACTCAACGGCACTTAACAACAACAACAACAACTATGACTGTGAGGAGCTCTGGTAGTGTAGTGCCTAAGGCACGTGACTGCTAACCAGAAGGCTGGTGGTTCAAATCCACCAGCCACTCCTCGGAAGGAAGGTTGGACAATCTACTTCCGTAGTGATACTGCCTCGGAAATCCAAGGAGAGGTCGCTATGAGTCATGTCCGACTTTATGGCACATAACAACAACAATGCTACTCTCAGGATTCTGTCTTTGTCTTTGATTTTGGTGAGTTTGATGATGATATGTTTAGGTGATTTTCTTTTGGGGTCTTTCCTGTTGGCTACATTGGATTTCTTGAATGGGTATATTCTTGTCTTTCATCATATCAGGGAAATTCTCTTCCAATAAATCTTTGACAGTTTTCCCTGTGGTTTTATTTGTGTCCTCCTGTTCTGGAATTCCAATTACAGGATTATTCCTTTTGATGGTATCCCACATGAACCTTATGCTTATTTCATTTTGTTTTGATATTTTTTTCTGATTGATCCCTTTCCAAGGAAGTATTGAGGTATTTGTCTTCAGTAACACTAATTCTATGTTCCATTGATTCAGTTCTATTCCTTTGCCCATTCAGTGTTCTGAAAATTTAGTATTAATCTTTTGGATTTCTATCTGTGGATTTTGTGTCCTTTCTCATTTTTCATTTATTTTGTCATTTCGTTCTTGTGTTGTCTTTCAAAATTGTTCTAGGGTTTTCTCTGTGTTTTCCTCAATTTTGTCAGTGTTTTCCTTGATCTGTCTTGAGAGACAGATCTGTACTGTTGAAAGTACCTAAAATTTTTTTGAATTCCTTATCAGGGAATTCCAAGGCTGCTTCTTCCTCAGGGGTGTGTTCTAGGTCTGTATCATGGTCCCTTGTTTCTCCTGCTTTATCTTCTTTGTGTGAACTGTGATGATCTGTTGTCTCCGAGACATTATGATGTTTTTGTATTTATATTTAATTTGTGGTTGTATGTTGAAGTGATTTGCCCAAGATTTCATATTCTTTGTTTTGTTTGAAGTATATCTGAGTAAGCAGGGTACGGTACAGGAGCTCTGGTAGCATAGGGCCTAAGGCACTTGAC